TCTCTTGACTAGCGATATGCCTGCCTTAGCCTCCCAAAGTGCTGGGATTACAGGCATGAGCCACCATGCCTGGCCTGAAGTAAGAATACTTTTTAAAAAAAATCAAATGAGAGAATACAAAAGTCCAGAGAGTGTAGTGCAATCCCAGAAACTCTCACGATCCAGATGGTCACTGGGTCAATGGTGAGGTCTTGCGTTTTGGCCCTTCCAGATTTTCGAAAAATATGCAACACAGACAGACGTGTGAGGGTCACTGGGGGGCACAGAGGTGGAGGGAGGAGGGGCTCCATGGGGTGGGTGTGCAGGCCTCAGAGGGCTCCTTGGGCTCTGGAAGGTGACCTTGGGCTCCCGGTCTCCCCAGAGTCCATCCACAGGGCTCTGAGGCCTGCGCGCTGCTCTCTGTGAGGGGGTTACCTGTGCACAGAGTGTGTCTATAAATGTCTTGCAGGAGACACTGAACTGAGGCACGCACACAGGCACCTTCAAGGGGCTGGACCACTGATACTGAAACAGATGCAGAGGGAGGGTGTGGCTCAAAGATCAACAGGCAGAGTCCCATCCCCTCGGGCCCTGGGAGGAGCAGGAGGTCTGATGACACAGGGCAAGGTGGTGACCTGCCCCTCCCCGCAGACTCTCCATGCTGTCCAGACAGAAGAACTGCACGTTAAATGTGTGCAGCTTCCTGGAGCACGTCATTGTTACTGCCTAAGAAGTCTTGGTCCTTCTAACACCCCACCAACCCTATCTGCATTTTCGTTTAGGAAATCATTATGCTTTGGCAAAACACACATTTCCCACGTAATACATTCCAACATAAAAGGATTACAGAAAACACTACTTTTTAAAGAATAAAAAACAGGGTGTGTGTGTATAATGTATAATATTTTATATATATATATGTATGTATAAAACACACATTCATATGTATATGTTAATTTTGAATAGTAAAATACATTTCAAACAGTGGCTCCCTGAATCGTGCTCCTCAACTCTTCCCAAGTGACCACAGCCCTGACTTGTCTTCAGGGGTTTCTTTTGTTGGCATAGGACACAGACACAGAACCACTGATGCCTAAGCCAGTGCTGTCTACACACAGAAGCCACCAACCTCATCTTGAGAAATGGGGCCAGGAGGCCACCCCAGGCCCCAGGGCTCCATGGAGGCTGAGGGGTTGCTGGGACTGGGCACACCCCAGGGGGTCCTGGATCCTGGATTTTCGCCTACTTGATGCCAGGACCTACTGAGTGCCCGCAGGTGTCCAGTGTTGAGTGGGTGGGCTGCTTGCCGGCATGGCAAAGCCCGGGGGTGCCTCCCTCTCTCTCACAACTTTCCCAGGAGGCATGAAACATGGGGGTTCATGGTCAACCCCAATGTCTGCTCATGATGAACTGGTGATGCTCCCTGTGGGCTTTGCGGGGCTGGGAGGGCAGAACTGGGTCCTCTCAAATGAGATTCAGTGGCACTGCAGACAAGAACACGGTGCATGGCCTTGGAATCCTGCACGTGTTAGTCTGACCAGCACCTCAGCCTCTCCCTCATTAGAGCAGCCTGTGGAGGGCTCAGCCCAGCAGGCTCATGGGCTGCTATGGAGAGGGTGTGTTCCCTGGAGGATGTTCTCTGGGCATCCTTCACTTGCCTGTAGGGATTTCCAGCATAACAGACAAAGGCCACAACAGGTCAGGTGAGGCTCCTCAGCATCCTCATCCTCCTTGAACTCGCCGGGTGCCCTGATGGGATAGCAAGAGAGTGGGGCAGACATGGGGACACGGGCACTGTCTGCCTTCCCCTGGTCATGCCGCCCCTGCACACTCACATTTCTTCTGCCCGTTCAGGCTTTGTCTCTATTGCCTTTTCCACAGGTGCCTGGAGAGGACTTGTTGGCATCTGAGAGGAAGAAAACAACTGTGCATGTCCAGAGTCCCCAGTGCAGCTTTGGGGGGTGGTCCCCAGAGCAGACCCAGACATCACTGGGAACCCCTCCAGTAGGGTGGGCCAGGCTCTTCTGACCCCAGCCCGGCTTCCTGCCTGGACCCTGTGGAGTTGCTCGACAGGATTCAGCGCTGCAGCCTGGGGGCCAGGAGTCAGGGTGAGGCCAAGACCGTGGGCAGGAGGGCTGCAGAGGGACTTTACAGGCACTGAAGACCCAGAACATTGGCTGCCACGATGAGACCACGTCCCTCAGGAGGATGATAAGAGACGGGAAGAGGGAGAGGGCCAGAGCTAGAGGAGCTCATGAGTCAGGGGTGAGAGAGGGGAGGAAGGAGATAATTACATGCTGATGGTCGTCTGCACTCTTGGACTCTTCCATATCTGCTCCAGCAGCTTCAGGGTGTTGGGAGCAGCAGCGGTGATGGGGCAGCCATGGGAAGGAAAGGGGAGAGTGAGAGTCGAGGAGGCACTCGGTCCTTGCCGTCCTGAGGCTGCGGAGCCAACCCCACAGGCTCCGGTGTGCTCATCTCCAGAGCCTACTCCGCAGCCTGGATCACTTCCTACAGTGAGGGAGGAGCCTCTGTCTTCCCACACACTTTCCCAGCCCTCACATCCTGTAACTGTGCCCAGGCAGGGAAGGCCAAGGCTGTGTCATCCCATTCCTCCAAGAGGTGGCCGCCATCTCCAGGATGTTGTGCACAGTATGTGATTCCCTCCCTCCTCCTCCTCTAGGGCCTGTCTCTGCTCTTCTGATGAATCCCACGTCTTTTCTCCCTGTTGACCACCAATCCCACTGCTCTCCAATAAAAAAACACAAGAGGGAAGGGCAGGGCTGCACTGCCAGGCCCTCCATAAACCCATGGGTCGCACCCTAGGTGGTCAGCACCTGCCACAGGCCTGGGGCTCAGTTGAGGCCTGTGGGACACGAAGACAACTGATGTCACAGATTGAGTGACTGTTGTATGCCTGGGATGACCTTAGGGACCTGGAAAATACTCAACACTCACAAGAATCCCACAAGCTTCTGAAAGCTTAGAAACGCTATAATGGGACTCTAGGGAAAGCCCCTTGTCCCACTGCCTTAATCCTCAGGTGAGGCTGCAGTTGTCAGCACGTGAATGAACGGGCCCTGCCAGGTTTTGCCTGAGCTGTGGGAGGACTGGGTGGGAGGGCGCCTGGCAGGCCTGACACAGGAAACAGGCTGGGCCTGACTGCAGCGTGGGGCTCAGGACAAGGCTGTCAGGCCAGAGCAGAGGGTGTGACAAGACAAGTGACCCCTGTGCTAGCTGCCCTGCGGCTCCATCCTGGGCCCAGTGGATTCCAGGAACCAGGTTATAAGGAGGGTGTGAGCCTGCAGCAACACACAGCCACTCCACACACATACTGTAGTATTCCTACTGGCCACAGAGGGCCTTGGTGACATCTGGACACTGAATTCTCAAAACCAATTCAGCTTCCATTCCTAGCTCAAGGATTTGGGACTGAGTGAGAAGTGGAGGCCAAAGCCGTGCTCAAGCAAGGGATACCCCCTTGGGTCTCTAGGATGTGGGCACACAGTAATTCCAGAGGAGGATTTTCTACCTCAGGAGACCCAGGGAGTGCCCTGTGACCAGGTGCAGATGCTGAGGGCTGGACAGGAAGGTGCTGCTGCAGGTCCCCAGAGTGCAGAGGGAGAGGGTGGGCTCCTGCCACCTCCTGGCACACGCATGAAGGACTTTGTGTCCTGGGTCACACAGCAGCTGTGAGGGGCTGTGTCCCACCTCACTGCCCGTACAGACTCAATGCCACACTCGCATACTCATCTCCTGTTCTCCATTCACAAAGGACACTACTCACTCCCCCAACACACACACACACAAAACCCAGGGCTTTGGTGTTTGCTGTGGCACAGGCAGGAGAGATCTGGCCTTCTGGAAAAGGTCATCTTGCTCATCAGGGAAGGAATCATGGGGAGGGGCAGAGCACACATGACACCCATGGAAACAAAACTCCTTCCATTTCTCATTAACATGCAGAAAGAACAAACTGCACCTCTACACCTACTTCCTTTTATATTCACTGACTTCGAAGCTCCCAGCCGAGGCGCAGAAACCACAGGTGTAACCCAGCTGCCCCCAAGAACCCTGTGTCCCAGCCCCACCTGGAGTGTCTCCGCTACTGGCAGAGTCTTTGTCATCACTGGTTTCAGGAAAGCTGTCCTCAGAGCTACCTACAGAGACACAAACATCAGAGAAGGGTGACTTCAGAGTGACTGGAACAGCACTCCTGCTCCACGCACAGCCACACTGGGTGACACCAGGTGCCCTGCTCCATCTTCTGTGATCTCAGACTCTCCCTGGGCTCTGTGGACTCAGCTGGGAGCCTTCAGATGAGACAGAAAACCTGAAAAAAATCCCCCTTCACCCATTCACCTCCACTGGCCCATTATGGCTGTCAGCTCTACTCTGAGAACCCTGAATTTCGAACATAGTGGCACACGTGTTGAGTTAGGTGAGTGCAGTGAACAGAACCTGGGACAGGCTCATGACAGCTGGCCCAGAGAACATTCTGATAGGATGGCATTGCTCTCTGCAGTGTGAGCATTGGGATACTGGGTACTTGAAGCATGGCACGAGAGGAGGTTCTGAATTTTTTACTTTTATTTCTTGAAATTAATTTAAATTAAATATAAATAAGCATAGATGCCTGCCAAGGACCCTTCCACCCAATTGTCCCACAGCTCAGGCAAAACCTGGCAGGGCCCCTTTATTCATGTGCTGACAACCGCAGGCACACCTGCTAATTAACGCAGTGGGGCAAGGGGCTTTCCCTAGGGTCCCGTTACAGCGACGCATAGATGGGCGGTGGAGGATCAATTCTGAGGACTTTAGTAAAAAAGGCTTGTGAAGGAGGGAACTGGAAACACTGAGGTGTCATGACCACTCCAATGGCAGGAGGAAATAGGAAGGCCTGCTACCAGATGAAGTTTATTAGAAAATGAGGTTTAGAAGCGGATTCCCAATGAAAACAAATGAATTAGCAGAGATACTGGAAAGAGTTTTGCTCCATTACTACCCAGTGAACATTTTCCCGGGTGTTGACAGGATTTTCTTTAGGTTAACTAAAGTGTCCTTGGCATGGAATCAACTGCATTCTTTGTAAAATTATGCTTTCTTTCTTTCTTTCTTTTTTTTTTGAGACCGAGTCTGGCACCGTCACCCAGCCTGGAGTACAGTGGCCCAATCTTGGTTCACTGCAACCTCCACCTCCTGGGTTCAAGCTATTCTCCTGCCTCAGCCTCCCAAGTAGCTGAGATTACAGGCACTCACCACCACACTCAGCTAATTTTTGGTATTTTTTTGTGGAGGCAGGTTTCACTGTGTTGACCAGGATGCTCTCAAACCCCTAACCTCGTGATCCACCCGCCTGGTGCTCCCAAAGTGCTGGGATTACAGGCATACCCACCACGCCCAGCCAAGATTACACTTTCAGTGATAACTTCCACCCACACACCAAGGCACACTGAGCACCACAGCATATGCATTCACACAGATGCACGCCAGCCCTGTGCACACAACTCCATCCCACATACAGAACACAGAGCTGCTCCCAGGGACTGAAGAATGTGGCTGTAGCTCCTTATCTGAAAAAAAATATTCCTCTCATTGACAACAGGAAGCTTAATTCAGGCTTTCTGTCTACAAAAAAGTGAGTGAGACAGTGCCACATTCCTCATCATTTGAAATATTTATCCACACTGAGGAGGGCCCCAATACGTACCATTCTCTAAGACTCCTGAGGCCACCTGTAAGAAATGGAAACATATTGCTGTTAGCAACAGACCATGCTGGGTCCTGTGTACAAAGATGTCATGTCCACTTACTGACATTAGAAAAGCATATTGGAAAAAGGCAAAGTAACTCATAATGGAAACAGGACAAAAAGACTCATGTGAAAAACGTAAGTTTTTCTTGGAGGATGTTTCCTCCAAGTTTATGTGACTTGGCAGTTAAGTAATTTTGCTCCAAAAAGACAATCAAGCAACTGAGGAAAAAGGCGGCTGCCACTCAGTGCGTGGCTGCTGCTGCCATTTTCTCCTCCTGACTTAAATCAATCCTCAGTGGGGAACAGACTCTTACTCAGAATTCCTTCCACCGACACTGTATAAATCACCTATGATACACAGGGTCAGATTCTCCTACCTCACTGAAATTCAAAAGGATAAAGTTAAGAAACCTTTTGTCCAACCAAACCAGGTGGACTGACCTTCCACTGTGGTGGCTCCTCCTCATCTGAGGATTGGTACGAGAACGGTTCCACCAGGGTATATTCTGTGGGAAGTAGGAGGACACAGAGTGACCATCAGCAGGTGCAGGGGAGGAGCAGGGAAGAGAGGTTTTCTAACCCCAGGTCACCTCATCAATGAGAAATAGCCCATCTCAAACAGGGCACACCACCCAGGGCAGGCTGTGTGTCCCTGCAGACTCTTCAGGGCTCCTGCCTCCTCATCTGACCTGAGCTCACTTGCCCTCCCTTCCTGAGGCTTTCCAAACTCTCTTTCTCCTTAGAATCCACCTCAGGTGCTTCTGGTTATATCAGTCATTCTGTGATATGTTATACTTGGTAAAAAGCAACCTTTCTTCTGAGACATCTCATTCTAGACAAAATATACAGTATATTCACTCATCTTTTGTGTTGAGGACAATACATTTTTGAAAATACTTAGGTATCCCCTTTTTTAAATGTAGCCCCTATTTAGCAAGTGCTATCTGACCTTATACTCGACCTTCTCAACGCAATGTCTGCGTGTGTCAGGAGTCCTTTGCTGCTCACACTCACACTGGCTCTGACACTGGAACAGCCCATCATGGGGGCAGCAGGTGGGGCTCTGACCCTCTCCATCCCAGCTGTGCAGGAGGTTCCCGCAGGGAAGGTGGGAGGGAGCCCAACACCCAAGTGGTTCCTTGAGATCACAGTCAGCGCTGTGTTTGACTGTGTTTACGACTAAACTAAAGCATTTTTCCACTTATTGCTTTTTTTTTTTTTTCATTTGGCAGATGGCCTTTGTTACCTAAGCTGGAGTGGTGTGACATGATCTCTGCTGACTGGAACCTGCACCTCGAGGGATCAAGTGATCTTCCCCACTCTGCCATCCAGGTAGCTGGCACAACAGGTGCACCACCACACCCAGGTAACTTCTTGTATGTTTAGTCAATACGAACTTTCACCAGGTTGCCTAGGCTGATCTCCAACTCCTGGACTCAAGCAATCCACTTGCCTCGGCCTCTCAAAGTGCTAGGATTACAGGCATATAAGCCATGTACCCAGCCCACATGAGCATGTCGAATGCTTGTGAAAATCGGGTTATTAAACACAATACAGTATGTCCCTGATTATTTCTCTGCTTTAGACCACGAGCTGAGAAATAATGCCACCACTATTGCAAACCACCCTTGAGCTCGCTTCTGTGTGTTTCACATTAACAAATGCACATAGAAAAGTCCAGCGTAACAGGTACCTATTATACTCTGCGTCAGGCAGCCTTTGAGAACTCCCTAAAATGACAGACAGTCCTTGGGACCTTTCAAGGCTCTTCTCCTTCCACATGCATAAACAGATGCCAGAGCTGCCTGGCATAATGACGAGTTATACCAGGGCCGCCTGGTGAATGCACAGTAGTAAACCACTGCATCGATTTTTTTCCCGTTCCTGAGTTCCCATTTGTGTCTTCCGTTTGGGAGATTGAGAGCCTGGGAAATTCATCTCTGCATCATCTCTATGTGAGGAGTGAGGATACAACATTTATCTTCAGGTACAGCTGTGGTGGAAGATGAATGAGTTCATTTATGTGAAATGTGCAGTAGCGATTCAATGTTTTAGAAAATTTTTCTGAATTTTCTGGGTAAACACACATACAGTGCCAAAGTCATTCCCAATCACTCCACACGGCTGTCCCCTCCACACGGTATCGCCCTGATGCACACCACCCTATTCCATCTACGTGGCAATTCTGCCTCCGGGGACTCAAGGGGAAGGTCATGGTTTTTTGCTAGATGGACTGAGTGTTTTTAAAACCAAACTGCCCCTATCTCCTTTCTGTCAGGAAGCTCAAACCAAAGCAGCCCTCCAGCAAAAGCAGGAGAGTAAGTGCCACCTGTTGCCACACTGAAGATCTTTCCTTAGCCAAGGAGCGCTTCCAGAATACACACCTTATTCCTTGGTGGGTTCCTCTGCCTGCATGGAGGGAAAGAAAAACACCGTGAGCTTCAGACCATCCTGAGGCTTTTGTGTAAAAGTCTTTTCTTCACTTGTTAACATTAGAAGACCAGATGGGAAAGAGTGTTCAAGTCAAAGGAACACAGAAGAACAGGACAACTGACTCATGCTAAAGTCGATCTTGCAGGATATTCCCTCTCAAGGTCCTGTGGATTGGCAATGAAGTGATTTTGCCCCGAGAACAGAATCAAGCTGCTGAGGAGGAAGCTCACTGCCCCTCAGTGCGTGGCTGGTGCTGCCATTTTCTCCTCCTGTCTTAAATCAAGCCTCAGTGGGGAAGAGACTCTGACTCAGAATTCTCCCCACCAAGGACACTGCATAAATCACCTATCATACATAGGGTCAGATTCTCCTACGTTACTGAAATTCAAAAGGATAAAGCTAAGAAACCTTTTCTCCAACAAAACCAGGTGGACTGACCTTCCACTGTGGTGGCTCCTCCTCATCTGAGGATTGGTACAAGAAGGCTTCCTTCGGGGTGTATTCTGTGGGAAGTCGGAGGACACACACTGACCATCAACAGGTACAGGGGAGGAGCAGGGAAGAGGGATTTTCTATCCCCAGGTCACCTCATCAACATGAAATAGCCCATCTCAATCAGGGCACCCCACCCAGGACAGGGTGTGTGTCCCTGCAGCCTCTTCAGGGTTCGTGCCTCCTAATCTGACCTGAGCTCACCTGCCCTCTCTTCCTGAGTCCTTCCCACCTCATTTCCTCCCTAGAATACACCTCTGGTGCTCCTGTGAATATCTTCCCTTTTAGAGGTTTTCTATAAAATAGCAAGCAGCCTTTCTTCAAAAAGAAGACTGCATTCTTATCAAAATATTCTATTTATTCACTAACCATTTTTTAAGGCTATATTTTATTTTTATATGCACATACACATGCTTCCTGGTGTGGTGAGAACTTCCAACAGGGCTGTCTGATTAATGCAGAGTTTCAGCCCATCCTTCCAGTCTTCACCACCCATTCCTGAGATCACTTTGCCTTTCTCATTCAGGAAATTGACAGCCTGGATAATTCATCTCTCCATCCTCTCCAATCTCAGGACTCAGCATATTAAACTACCCTCCCGGTATAGCTGTGGCAAAGTGTGAGTGTTGACTGATGTGATGTGTCCAGTGGGGTTGGAGTTTTGTTTCTAGAACATTGATTCTAATGTTGTGCTTTGAACAAGGGAACATCCTTTTTAGAGAAATTCACACACACACTCTCATAGATGTTCCCCATCACTCTACACGGACTCTCTCCTCCATGCCTCCCCACCCCGATGTACCCCTTTTCTATTTAAATGACATCACTGCTTCTGGGAACTAGAGTGGATGGCCACAACTGTTGACTAAACTTTTCATTTTTGTTACACCAAATTGTCCAAACCTCATTTCCAGCAGGAACCTCAAAGTAGGTGGCTCTCCAACAAAAGCAGGGAGAAAAGTTTCACCTTTCTCAACACTAAGATATTTCCTTAGCAAAGGGGTGACCCCAGAGTACGTACCCCTTGCCCGAAGCACTGAGTCCCTCTGCAAAGAGAAAGGAAAACACTGTGAGCATCAGACCATGCTGTGTCCTGTGTGCACAGGTCTTTTGTTTACATGGTGACATTAAAAACCCAGACAGGAAACAGTGTTGAGGCCATGGCCTGAAAATAAAGCCTAAAGGACACTTGTGGAAAGGCACAAGAGTTTTGTGAAGATTTTCAAAATGATTTTGTTTGCAGAGTCACCATGATTTTCAAAAAATATGCATTTCCCATGAGGAAAATGCCCTGTCACTTAATAAAGAAGAATAAAATGCCCTCTCATTTCACTTCTCTCAGCTGTGTAGATGCTGTTGGTCAAGTTTGGTCTATCCCAGAATCCCGTTTAACTGGAGGATGCCTCACAGCCCCAGGCCAGGGCAGCTGCGTCACACTAGTTGCAGCAGAGGTGGGAGGGGAGCCAGTTCCAGTGCAGGGTGAGCTCAGCAAAGGGAGCTGACAATAAGTAGGTGACAATACTTTCCCTACTTTTCAATATAATGAGGCCATGTGATTTTAAAATTTCCCTTGTTTCCCCCCAAAAGCATGTCCTCATAACCAAATTCCCCTAGTCATCTTTAATCTGTACAGTATAGTTTTTCTGTGAAACTGAGGTGGCCTTCTACTGTGTGTGATTAAAGTTACAAATCAGTGTTACCAACATTGGGGTTCTATAAGTTCATGGCCAGCTGCACAGTGTGCTCCATGAGAGAGCAGGGCACAGACTCTAAACATAATTTAGAAGAGCAGGAAGAAGTCATGAGGACATCCATGCCATGGGGGTAAGCCAAGGTTGAAAGGCCAGGAGAGCCAGTTCAATGTCATGCCCTGGATGCAGCCAGTATGTTCGGGCCCCATTTGATGTGGAAGGAGCAGAGCTTGGACTTCAGGGCTGGCGTGAGCACTGCCCGGCCACCGTTCTAAGAGCCTGGAGAGAGGAGCTACTTTTTCGTTTGTCTCCTCCATCTTTCTGTGTTGATGTCAATAACACAATCAGAAATTAGTGAGAGGCAAAGAACAGGAGGGAGTTCCCAAAATATCTGACTTAATCAAGGGGGATATGATGAGCAGGGGTGGACATCAGGGTCAGGTCAGACATAGCACTGTCCCCAGGCCTGCTCTCCCTGTGGCTGGGACAGAGAACGGTATTTACTTTTCACCAGCTTCTGGAAGTTGCCTGACAGCTGGTCCTTGTGTAGATGCTGTTGGTCAAGTTTGGTCTATCCCAGAATCCCATTTAACTGGAGGAGCCTCACAGCCCCTGGCCAGGGCAGCTGCATCACATTAGTTGCAGCAGAGGTGGGAGGGGAGCCAGTTCCAGTGCAGGGTGAGCTCAGCAAAGGGAGGGGCTGCCCCAGAGCCCAGGTATTCCTCACACATCTCCCTTCTGACTCATAAGACATCACTTTGCTGGCTTCTCTGAGATAGGCTTGGAATCATCAGTCTCACAGTCTGTGACCTGCCATTCATGGGTGGAAGGATTCTGGCCCTGGTTGGTCACTGTGAGGTGAGGGGCTATGTCCTTTTTCTTCCTTCTCATCCCAGAGCTTAGCACTGGGAAGCCTATCTTGGGTGCCCCAGTGATGTTCTGATTCACACAGTCCTGTACAGAGATAGCACGAGTGTGAAAAGGCTTCCTCCTCACCCTCTGCAGTCTGCTGAGTCCCACATAAATGCAGGTTCCTGCGTGGATTCTGATGCAGTTTCTGGGAGAAGTGCGTGGGCTCCCCTCCCTGTTTGCTGTTGTTGTCCCATGTGCTCCTGAAGTGTGCAACTAAGGATTAAAATAATAAATATCGTGTATAGCTCACCATCATGATTTAAAGTCCAATAAAATGGATGTTAACTGGTAGGAGCATAGGTATATTTAGGAAAGTTAAGTGATACAGTAACCTTTTTACAAAAAAGAGGATATTTACCAGGCCTCCTTCTGTGAGGAGACCCTGTCCTGGAGTCATGCTGTGCACTTGTGTTCATGTAAAGTGATCATAAGTGTCTTTGGGAGCCTGCGTGCATTTCCCCAGAAAGGACATTTCCATGTGCAAAGCCCAACACAAGGATTACTGTTCTAAACACAAAATGCGTCACCATTGCACACTTCACATCAATCAGCCCTTTCATCCTCCGTGGCAGCTTACCTAAAGGTAAGTTTCATGTCCCCACTCCTCAGTTAGAGATGCTGTGGAGATGAATTTTTCAAGCTCTTGGGCCCCTAAACTGAAGAGGCAAATGTGAACTCAAGAATGGGTGAAACATTGATGCGATGGCTACTATTGTGCACTTGGCAGACAGCCCTGGCATAACTCAACACCCTGCCAGGGAGTTCCAGCACCTATGTGTGCATGTGGAAGTGTGATGGCCTGTAGAGATTTTACACGCTGTCATCACAGGACGGTCTTAGTGGTCACCTAACCCAGGGTGGGGACAGCTACATTTTACAGTGGAATCTGGCGTGGTCATTAATGTGAAGCACACTTGCAGGGCTCAGAGGGTTTTGGTGCCATGATGGGTTCATTCCTCAGCTCCTGGTCCAGAGCAGAAAATAATCGGGGACATATTCTGTTTTATTTAAGAACATAATAACCACAAGGCTTAGAAAGGCTCCGGTTCGGTAGCACACACACCTCAGGCACAGCCTCAAACAGGAGCTCCAGGAACAGCTCACTGGTCATTAGAGAAATGCAAATCAAAACCACATTGAGATACCATCTCCTGCCAATTAGAATGGCGATCATTAAAAAATCTGGAGACCACAGATGCTGGAGAGGATGTGGAGAAATAGGAACACTTTTACACGCTGATGGGAGTGAAAATTAGTGCCACCATTGTGGAAAACACTGTAGTGATTCCACAAGGATCTAGAAATAGAAATTCCATTTGACCCAGCAATCCCATTACTGGGTATGTATCCAAAGGATTATAAATCATTCGATTATAAAGATACATGCACACGTATGTTCACTGTGGCACTGTTTACAATAGCAAAGACTTGGAATCAATCCAAATGCCCATCAAGGATAGACTGGATAAAGAAAATGTAATACATACACACAATGGAATACTATGCAGCCATAAAAAAGGATGAGTTCATGTCCTTTGCAGGAACATGGATGAAGCTAGAAACCATCATTCTCAGTAAACTGACACAAGAACAGAAAACCAAACACCACATGTTCTCACTCATAAGTGGGTATAAAACCATGAGAACATATGGTCACAGGGAGGGGAACATCACACACTGGAGTCTGTTGGGGGCTGGGAGGCTAGAGTAGGGGTGGCAGGGGGTGGGGAGCTTGAGGAGGTATAACATTAGGAGAAATACTTAACGTAGGTGACAGGGGTATGGAGGCAGCAAAGCACCATGACATGTGTATACCTATGTAACAATCCTGCAAGGTCTGCACATGTACCCCAGAACTTAAAATATAATAATAATAAATAAAAAGTGCATTTGTAAGAAGCTGATCAAGTCCACACAGGCCCCGTCGCACACTAACCCATCTCTGGCCAGCAGTGCCCTCAGGCTGGGGCCGCCTCATGTGAGCAAAGCCCCAGGAGCTTGGGTGGGCACAGGCATGAATCAACCCACCACTCCAAATGTGTCATTACAAGGTCAGAGGACTGATCCTCTGTAGCAAAGGGGGCGCTGGGGTCCTGCGCTCTCTCCCTCCAGCCCCGAGAAGGCTGGGGGTTCCCTAGGGAGAGCTGGAAGTCTATGGTTGAGCCAGGACACAGAAGACAGGTGTGGGCTCTGGCAGGCTAGTCTCATGTTTGGCCACAAGCCCCACACACCACACAGGTGCATGCTGTCACCCGTGGGTGCGTCCTGTCACCTGTGTAGATGGGAAGCCCAGACTATTTGGGTCTGGGGTCTCCTGACTTTCTGTGCCACCTAAGCACTGTGCACTGGCCGCTTGGGCCTCATGGCCTCAGCTCCTCCAGCTGACCTGACGGGAGAGAGGCTGGTGACAGGGCAGATGGGCCCTGAGGGGGTCACAGACCCCAGCCAGGCAGTCAGCCTGTCTAGCGTCAGCCAGGGTCTGGCCAGAGTGGCCCCTGGGAGGTGTGGGGAGGGGGCTATTCAGGCCCACCCCTTCCCTCTTCATTCTCCTGGGAGACTGAAGGTCAACAGTCAGCAGTGGCTTAGGCAGTCAGGAGGGGTGAGGGGCAGGCCTCTCACTGTCAAGCCTGGAGCTGGTTAAGTTTCAACTCCCTGCTTCTGCCCTCTGGGAGCTTTCCTGAGAAGTCAACGCAATTGAGACAAATGTAGCTATTTTTTGTATTTTTAGTAGAGATGGGGTTTCCCCATGTTGGCCAGGATGGTCTCGATCTCTTGACCTCGTGATCCGCCCACCTCGGCCTCCCAAAGTGCTGGGATTACAGGCGTGAGCCGGAGCGCCCAGCCGACTCTATCTTCCTACTCCCCATCCAACCTTGTGGGACTTCTAGACTAGTCTCCTCAAAGCTTTTGCTGTATCTATTCTTGGCCACTTCTAACTCATGACCTGAATGGCTGCTAGACTGAGCTTTCTCAAATCCAGGCATGATCATTTCCGTTTACTTCTTAAAATCTTCCAACAGTGGCCGGGCGTGGTGGATCTCGCCTGTAATCCCAGCACTTTTGGAGGCCGAGGCGGGCGGATCACCTGCAGTCGGGAGTTCAAGACCAGACTGACCAACATGGAGAAACTCTGTCTCTATCAAAAAAAACAAAAACAAAAAAAACTTCCAACAGCTTCTCAAAGCTCAGGGGATAAAAGCTACACCCTTCAGCATGGCATTGATGGCCTAAAAACCGGGCCCAGCTTCCACTTTCACCTCACCCACGGAGCATCCTCTGCTCCAGCCTTGGAGAGCTGTCTGCCTATTCCCCAACCTGCTGAACTTTCCAGGTGTACTTCTGGCTATGTAACTTCTTCACCCTTCCAAGACCTTCCCCAGCTGCTTCCCCAACTGCCCCTGGCCGGTCCTTTACCAGAGGGCTCTTTGCCATTGGCCCTTCTTTAGGTTTAGTACCTGTCTGCAGATACTTTGTAAAGTCCCTGGACTAATGAAGGTGTTTCATCTAGAACCAAAATTTCACTTTACCTGAGAATCCAAGTCTTCTCCTTTTAGGCAGAGATTGGCATCGAGAACATTGAGTCCCACCAGCAGACCGACAATCACCATCCCTTCTTCCTCCATCATTAAAGCCTCAGGCTCATAGAACTCACTAAAAGAGACAGACAGGCCAGAGCGATGCTCAGAAACAGCTTCGCCATCACCATTCCTTCCCCACCCTCCACTGCCATTTCAACTGTACCCTGGAGAAAGGAGATACTACTGTGGGTTTCCTCCCTCCCTTTCTTTCCCTTCACTGCTTCAAGGGCCACTTTTTCTTCTCTGTCCTCTCTTCTCCTTCCGTGGCTTAGAATGGGCTCTCCCCTCCCCGTCTAAGGTTAACTCCTCCATGCAGACCCTGGACCCCGGTTCTTCTCATCTCCTCTTGGCCGCTGTACTCCTGTCATTCTCCTTTCCTGTGTCTCCACTGGCTCCTCTTCTGTGTTGATACGAACTACTACTTCTTGTTTATATGCTCATATAAACAAGAAATGGGATCCCACATCCAAGCATAAAACTCTTTCTTGCATCCCACTAGCAACATCTGCTGCTTTTACTTCCTTATTGCCCAGTTATCTCGGCCATTTGCAGTAGGGGTCCATCCCCTGTCTATTACTGCTCTGGTCAGCAATGATTTGCTAATGTACCAAATCCAGTGGCATCCAGGCCACTGTGTGTGTGTGTGTGTGTGTGTGTGTGTGTGTGTGTGTGTGTATGTATAAGAACTTTTATCTCAAGAATTACCTCATTAGTGGCTGGGTGCAATGGCTCACGCCTGTAATCCTAACACTTTGGGAGGCTGATGCGGGCAGATCACCTGAGGTCAGGAGTTTGAGGCCAGCCTGACCAATGTAACGAAATCCCGTCTCTACTAAAAATACAAAAATCAGCCAGGCGTGGTGGCATGCACCTGTAATCAGAGCTACTCAGGAGGCTGAGACAGGAGAATTGCTTGAATCCAGGAGGTGGAGGTTACAGTGAGCTGAGATCGTTCTACTGCACTCCAGGCTGGGTAACAAGAGTGAAACTC